GAAAACTTCCCTAATCTGGCAAAGGAAACAGACATACAAGTTCAAGGAAGCATAGAGAGTCCCAAACAAGATGAACTCAAAGAGACCTACACCAAAACATATCATAATTAAAATGCCAAAGGTTAATGAGAGAGAATCTTAAAAGCAGCAAGGGAAAGGCAGTTAGTTACCTAACTAGGGGAGTTCCCATAAAACTGTCAGCTGATTTCTCAATAGAAACTTTGCAGGCCAGAAGGGATTGGTACATAATGTTTAAAATGATGAAAAGCAGGGACCTGCAACCAAGATTCCTCAGCAAGGTGCTCATTTAGAATCAAAGGAGAGAGAAAGAATTTCCCAGATAAGAAAAAGCTAAAGGGATTCATCACCACTAAACCAGTATTACAAAAAAAAATGTTAAAGGACTTGGGGCCGGCCTAGTGGCTCAGTTGGTTAAGAGCTCGCTCAAGAGTTTGAGCTCTGAGCAACAGCGGTTTGATGCCCGGCCCAAGCTGAGCAGCCGCTGAGCTGCCAACAGGTAGCAGGATGGCTCAGCTAAAAAAAAAAATGTAAATGAATTAAATGCTCCAATCAAAAAACTTAGGGTGGATGAATGGCTGAAAGGATAAGAAAACAACACCCATACATATGCTGCCTACAGGAGACCCACATCGCATCTTCAAACACACAGACTGGAAGTCACACTACCTGATAAGAAAATATACTACAAGACTATAGTAACCAAAACAGCATGATACTAGCATAAAAACAGACACATAGGTCAATGGAACAGAATAGTTGTAGAGAGCCCAGAAATAAACCCAATCCTATATGGTTAATTAATCTATGATAAAGGAGGTAAGAGTATACAATGGGTAAAGACAGCCTCTTCAATAAATGATGTTGGGAAAACTGGACAGATACATGCAAAAAAATGAAACCACCACTTTCTTAAACCTTATACAAGAATAAACTCAAAATGAATTAAAGACTTAAATGTAAGACCTGAAATCATAAAACTACTAGAAGAAAACATAGGTAGTAAACTCTCTGATATTGCTCTTTGTAATATTTTTTCTGATCTTTCTCCTTGGGCAAGGGAAACAAAATAAAAAATAGGACTACATCAAGCTAAAAAGTTTTTTCACAGCAAAGGAAACCATCAACCAAATGGAAAGACAACCTGAATGAGAGAAGATATTTGCCAATGTTATATCCGATAAGGGGTTAATGTCTAAAATATATAAAGAACTCATACAACATAACCCCCTCAAAACAAACAATCCAATTAAAAAAGGGACAGAGGAGCTCAATAGAAATTTCTCCAAAAAGGACATACAGATGGCCAATAGACATATGAAAAGATGCTCAGTGTCACTAATTATCAGGGAAATGCAAATTAAAGCAACAATAAGATATCAACTCACATCTCTCAGAATGGCTATCATCAACAAATCAAAAAGCAAGTATTGGTGAGGATGTGGAGAAAGGGAACCCTTGTGCACTGTTGGTGGGATTGCAAATTTGTGCAACCACTGTGGAAAACAGTATTGAAATTTCTCAAAAAATTAAAACTATCATATGACCCAGCAATACCACTTTTGGGTATTTATCCAAAGAAATTCAAAACACTAATTCAAAAAGATACATATACCCCTATGTTCATTGGAGGTTTATTTACAATAGCCAAGACATGGCATCAGCCCAAGTGTCCATCGATAGATGATTGGATAAAGAGGTGGTACATATACCGTATTTCCCCAGGTATAAGATGCTCCCATGTATAAGACGCACCTTAATTTGGGGGCCCGAAATTTGAAAAAAGTGTAATACATAAAGTTATTGAACTCAAGTTTTATTCATCATAAAATTCATACAACTCCTCATCACTTGCAGGAAATGCAAGTAAAAAAATCTACAACCACTGTATAAGACGCACCATTTTTAGACCCCAAATTTTTTGAAAAAGGGTGTGTCTTATACATGGGGAAATACAGTATACAATGGAGTATTACTTGGACATTAAAAAAAATTAAATCTTACTATTTGTGAAAACGTGGATGGGCCTAGAGGATATTATGGTAAATGAAATATGAGGTGTGATCAAACAATATGGTAAATGTTTAAGTAAAAAAAAATTATTACAGTAAAAGATACATTGCCATTAATCCTCCTCAAAATCCTCTCCCTCGCTTTGAACACACTTATCCCATTGTTCTTGACACTTTCTAAAGCAGTTCTGGAAGCCCTCTTTCGTGAGTGTCTTTAGTCATGTTGTCATGGCTGCCTCAATGTCCTGAATCATTTTGACTTTGGGGATGAGCCAGAAGACGGATGGTGCCAGATCCGGTGAATCAGGTGGATGAAGATACACCATAATGGGTTTTTTTGTTGTTGTTTTTGACAGAAATTGCTGTACCGAAGTAATGTGTGACACAGAGTGTTGTCATGATGGAGGGTGAAACCATTTGCCCATTTCATGTTAATGTGTTGTTCATGATCCTTGATTTATGGCACACTTTAAAAGAAACCTTCTCTCAACGGTAGCCCACATCCCACTGACTGCACCTAAGGTTTGACGCACCACTTCCCATATTGAAGATCCCTGCCTTTCTGTTGGATGGCACCTGGCAGCAGCATTCACCGTATTTTGTGATCACAACGGAAGGGCTCCATGTCACACATTGCTTTGGGTATGACAATTTCTGTCAAATAAAAACATTACGGTGTGTCCTCATCCACCTTATTCACTGGATCTGGTACCATGTAACTTCAGGCTCTTCCCCAGTCAAAATGGCCATGAAAGGTAAATGTTTTGAATCAATTCAGGACATTGAGGCAGCTACGACAGTGCAACTAAAGACACTCACAAAAGAGGACTTCCAGAACTGCTTCAGAAAGTGACAAGAATGATGGGATAAGTGTGCTCGAACTGAGGGGGAGTATTTTGAGGGGGATTAATGGCAATGTGTCTTTTACTGTAATGAAATTTTTTTTTTATTTAAACATTCACTGTATTGTTTCATCACACCTCATAAGTCAGACAGGGAAAGACAAATACCATATGTTCTCACTTATATGTGGAATCTAAATACAAAATAAATGAACAAACAAAACAGAGAGAGACTCATAGATAGAACAAACTGATGGTTGCTAGATGGGATGGGGGCTGAGGGGCTGGGTGAAAAAGGTGAAGAGATTGAGAAGTACAGATTGGTAGTTAAAAAATAATCATGGGGATGTAAAGTACAGCATAGAGAATATAGACAGTAATATTGTAATAACTATGTATGGTGTCAGGGTGGGTACTAGACTTATTCACAGCCACTTCATAAGTTATATAAATGTCTAACCACTATGCTATATACCTGAAACGAATATAATATTATATAATATTGAATGTCAACTGTAATTGAAAAAAAAATTGAAAACAACAGTACATTTATTTAAAGATAGTTCATATAACAATTCGGTATGACTTCTAAATGAAACAGTCTATGAAAGATTGAATATTGATAAAGGTGAATTATTTAAAATTACTGTCTACTTAAGACTGTTAAATTGTTAAAGGCTGAAGGGATGGGGAGGATAATAATTTAGAAAATGTCTACCCTCAAATTGCTTGGCAAGCGTCTTCAAGTTCTCACTCCCAAAGGAAGTTGGGTACTCTGCATTAAGGGTGTGGCTCAGAGGAAATGCCACTAGACCAGCCAGTGTGCTTAACTCAAAGAAGCTTTGGCATTAAATCAAAGGCTAGCTCATAAAAATATGTTAATAAGTTTTAAATTTAAATAAATGTAGATATGTATACTTTTTAGAAAATACTTCCCTGCTCTAAGTGACTTTTCAAAACCGAACCAAGTATAGATCTTGATAATGATAGGTAAGAAGGTTTCTACTCTCATTGAATGTTTAAAATGAGCCTCTAATGCTGCATTTACCTCTTGGAGGACAAGATAAGTGTCTCATTGCTTTGTCCATTTCTGATGCTGCCACGTAGTATGCCTTCCATAAATATCTGCTGGTTGATGAAGTGAGTAATGAAAGAATCTACTTCCAGACTTCATCACCATACTTCACGATATGTAACAGGAGATTCAGGAGTCTTCTGTTCTACGATTTACCCATCAAATGTGTAATGGTATAACATACCCCCAGGGAGCAGAACTAAGGGTTTGGGGGTTTGTTTCTGGATTGGTTCTTTTCTCATTACCTTTCTGGGTTTAAGGCGAGAAGGCAAAATCCAACTCCTTCCTCCCTTGTCTCTAGTCCTGTGCCCAGGAACTGTTTGCTCTAGTAGGATGAAAGACTACAAAACTGGGAGAAAGATTAGTGGCTGTTGTCCAGGAAAAAACAGGCCAAGAGTGCTAGACTAGAGACATTTTGAAGAAAAACAAATGATGATTATAGAAGAGATGAAAGGGCATTTGTTATTTAAATAGATAGGAAAGGAATCATTTACATGCAAAAAGACTTTTATTTAACTATGTGTGTTTCATTTAAATGTGGTTGAAATTTCCTCAATATTGTTTGTGTAAATCCATTCAAAATATGAATTTTTATGAAAGATGGCAGAAGAAATGATGACCCCAGTAAGTGGTCAGAGTGTAACCCAAAGAGATGAAGGTTTAGAAAGGAGGGAAAACCAACATTCACTTCACCCTGATGTAAATTTCTGAAGCAAAATTTTGAAATGAAAGAAAAAAGTATATTTATGACTCGCTTCATACATTCATTTCTCTGAGTAACTACCAGAGTAGAAGTATAAAACTTTCCATTGGGTTTGTTTCTGGATGAAATTTAAAAAGTGAAACATGCACCTTTCTTGCAATGGTTAGGGATGTGAATAATATTTTTTTCTGAAATATGATCAGTCAAGGTCCTATCTTATTGAATGAATGGCGATGTCAAACCAGCCTACCTTTAGAAGTTGGTACCATTTCTAATTGTAGCATTTTTACCTTGAAAAGTGTTTTAAAATCCTCATTACAGGTCTTTATCTCCCCCTCCTTCAATTGCAGCTCGAGTTAACCTTCAGCTACTTGGAGATTCATGGTGTCACCTGTAGCAAGCCAGCTCAGGTGAGTGTGAACAGCAGAAACCTTGTTGTCATAACTGCAAGGTCCTCACCTCTTGAGTTTCTGAAACTGTGAAACATGTTTCTGTTTTGTTTCACTGTTGAATGTTTCTTGAGATAATGTAGAAAAGCAAGATTATGGAAAATGGAAGTTTCTAAATGAGAGACTGCACAGGGGCTGTGTGGGCAGGAGTCGGGAATTAGTTCTGATAAGGAAAACATTCTTCATAACTCAGTTTGAAAAGAACTAATTAGCTCGTTAGCAGACAATGTAAATGTTAGAGTGCTGTTCCTTAGAGATTTTGTACAACTTTCAGCATTAAAATTTCATAGCTATTATACAGTATTATGTAAGGTCTTTCTGGGAATATAGTGATAAATGAATTTTTTGGTATTAATAAAATATAGACTTTTAAAAACAGCTTTAAAGATTATAATACAGTAAACTGAACTGTACAATTTGATAACTTTGATATATGTGTCCCCGTGAAACCATTACCATGATCAAGATACTGAACGTGCCCATCACCCCCAAAGCTTCTTTGTATACCTGTCAACACTCCCCCCTGCCCTCCTCCTCAGCTGCAGATACCTATTCTCTGCTGATGCAGATTAGTTTGCATTTTCTAAAATTTTAAAGGAATGGAATCATACACTACATACTTTTTATTGCCTGCCTTCTTTCAGTCAGTATAAATATTTTGAGATTGATTTATTTTGTTCCATGTCTCAATAGTTCATTCCTTTTTATTGCTGTGTAGTGTTCTGTTGCGTGGCTACTTCACAATTGGCTTATCCATTCACCTGCTGGTGGACATTTGGGTTGTTTCCAGTTTTTGGCTGTGGCAAGTAAAGCTGCCATGAACGTTGAAGTACAAGTCTTTGATTGGACATAGGCTTTTGTTTCCTGTGGGTAAATATCTAGGAGTGGAATGACTTAATCGTATAGTTGGTATATGTTTAATTTTTTATGAAGTTGCCACACTGTTTTCCAATGTGGTTGTGTCATTTTACATTGCCACCAGTAGTGTGTGAGAATTCCAGTTTCTACATACCCTCCCCAACACTGACATGGTCAGTCTGTTTAATTTTAGCCATTTTAATAAGTGTATAGTGCTTTTTCATTATGGTTTTAATTTGCATTTCCCTAATGACTAAAGATATTGAGCATTTTTTTTCATGTACAACAATCATTTTATTTAATTGATTTATTTCTTATTTCAGTTTTATTGAGGTATAGTTGACAAAAAAATTGCAGGATCGTTAAATGGTATATCATGGTATTTGATATACATACACATTGTGAGAAGATTCCCTCTACCTGGTTAATTAACACAACCATCATTTCACATATTTACCTTTTTTTTTTCTTTTTTTGTGAGAACCTTTAAGTTCTACTCTTAGAAAATTTCAATTATATAACACAGTGTTCTTCATTATAGTCAAATGTTTTACATTAGATCTGCAGAACTTATTCACATTATAGCTGAAAGTTTATGCTCTTTCACCAATCTCTCCCTATTTTTCCCAACCCCTAGCCACTGTTAACCACTTTTATTCAATAAGTTTGACTGTTTTTTTTTGTTTTGTTTAGTTTTTTGGCTTCTACATATGAGTGAAACCATGTAGTAATTGATTTGTCTTCTTTTGTTTGGCTTATTTCACTTTGCTTAATACCCTCAAGGTCTATTTTTGTTTTTTCAAATAAAACTTCTTTAGTTTATTATAATGAAATTAAGATATGGTGCTATTACAATACATTTAAATATGGATCATCCTATAAATACAGTTGTTTTTTTTTCAGTACTTTGTTTTTTTATTGTGAAATAAACATTTTTTAAAATTAGTTTCAGGTGTTCAACACAGTGCAGTAGTTTTACTTTTTATCCCTCAAAGTGACAACGCCCCTCCCCCAATCTGCCGCCCCACTTCTCCCCCATACCATCATATCTATTACAATTCCCTTGACTCCACTCCCACACTATACTCCACGTCCCGTGACTAGATATATATTCAATTATAGTTGACATACAATATTATACAACATCACCTTCAGGTATACAGTGCAGTGATCAAGACTCTACCGCATTCGTGAAGTGGTCTCCCTAACAAGACATGTGACCATCTGACTCCCTACAAAATATTTACAACATTAATTATATTCCCCAAACTATCTTTATTGTAGTTAGCTATTTATGCTGTCTAATCCCTTCCCTTCGCCCTCATCCCCAACCCCCTCCCATCTAGCAAACATCAGTTGTTCCTCTATATCTCTGAGACTATTTCTGTTTACTTTGCTCGTTCATTCAGTTTTTTAGATTCCACACATAAGTGAGATCATATGGTATTTGTCTTTTTCCGACTGACTTATTTCACTTAACATAATAGTGTCTAGGTCCATCCATATCGTTGCAAATGGTACGGTTTCATTCTTCTTTATAGCAGAGTAATATTCCATTGTATAAATGTACCACAGTTTCTTAATCCAGTCATCTACTGATGGGCTTTTCGGTTGTTCCCAAGTCTTGGCTATTGTGAATAGTGCTGAAATAAACATAGGGGTACATATATTTTTTCGAATTAGCATCTTGGCTTTCTCTGGATAGATACCCAAGAGTGGAATTTCTGGGTCATATAGTAGTTCCATTTCCAGTTTTTTGAGATACCGCCATACTGATTTCCATAATGGCTGCACCAGTCTGCAGTCCCACCAACAGTGGACCAAGGTTCCCTTTTCCCCACAACCTTGCCAGCACTTGTTGTTTGTTGATTTATTGATGATAGCCATTCTGACCAGAGTGAAGTAGTATCTCATTGTGGTTTTTATTTGCATTTCTCTAATGCTTAGTGAGGTTTAACATTTTTTTCATATGCCTGTCAGCTATCTTTATGTCCTCCATAGAGAAATGCCTCTTCATATCCTCTTCCCATTTTTTAATTGGGTTGTTTTTTTGGTGTTGAGTTGCATGAGTGTTTTATAAATCTTGGATATTAACCCCCTACCAGATATATCATTGGCAGATATCTTCTCCCATTCAGTAGTCTGCCTTTTTTATATATATTGTCAGATTCCATTTGTTAAAATTTTGTGAAGAACCTTTGCATCTATATTAATGAGTTATTGGCTGTAGTGTTTTATTTTATAAATGTTTCTGTTTGCTTTCCATATTAGAGTAATCATGGACTCACTCAGGGACTGGGTGAGTGCTCACCAGTGAGCGAGTCCGTGTTCTGGCTCTACTGGTTCTGTAGCCGCCTCAGCCTCACCGAGCTGAGCAAAGAGAGTCCTCACTAATTTCTACTGCCAGCTATTGTAGAAATCCTCTTCCCGGCAAAGCAATTCTGGGCTGGTGAGCTCGATGTGGGGTCGGAGGGTCTGTTCCCCAACTGGAGAAGCCTCCCCACCGCTGAGGTGTCCCTCACGGGATTCGCCCTCTCTCGTCTCTGCCCCTCCTACCAGACTCGACGTGGCCTCCTCTTTAAGTCCTTCGTTTAGAGGTTCTGCTCATCTAGTGTCCAGGGAACTTCCGAGGTTGAACGTTATATAAATTATTTGTTATTTTGGTGTGATCCTGGGAGGCAGTTGGCACAGTGTCTGTCTATTCCACCATCTTCCAGCATAATCCTTGAACGTCTTTTTATTTGCCATCGGATATCTTCTTTGGTCAAGTGTCAGTTCAAATCTTTTACTATTTTTTAAACTGAGTTGTTTATTTTCTTAAAATTTTAAGAGTTCTTCATATATTCTAAATACATGTCCTTTATCAGAGATGTGATTTATATGTATTTTCCTCTCAGTCTGCAGTTTATCTTTTAATTTTCTTTATAGTGCCTTTCAAAGAATAGAAGTTTTAAATTTTCATGAAGTCCAATTTAGCAATATTTACTTTTATGGATCACGCTTTTTTCGTGTCAGCTTGAATAAATCTTTGCTTAATGAAAGGTCACAAAATGTTTTATGTATTCTAGAAGTTTTATAGCTTTAGGTTACACATTTAGGTCTATAATTCATTTTGAGGTAATTTTTGTATATAAAGCAAGCAATGTATCAAACGGATCAGTGTTCCGTTTTCTTCTTCCTCTTCCTTCCCCACCCCCCCCCTTTTTTTCTCATACTATAGTATATCCTCGTGTTCTAGTGCCATTTGTGTGAAAGAATATTGTTTCCCCTCAGAACAGACGTTCACTTTTGTTGAAGATCAATTGTTAATATACATGTCAGTCTATTTATGGACTCTTTATCCTCTTCCTTTGGTATTTATGTATCTTTATGCCACTACCACACTGTCTTGATTACTGTAGCCTCATAGTAAGAATTGAAATCAGACAGCATTAGTCTTTCAACCTTGTTCTTCATTTTCAAAGTTGTTTTAGTGATTCTAGGTCCTCTGCAATTCCATGTGAATTTTAGACTTGGTTTGTATTGAAGCTATGGATCAATTTGGGGGAGAATTGACATCTTAACAATATGGAGTCTCTGACCCAAGAAAATGGCATATTTCTCCATTGATTTGGTTCTCTAATTTCTCTCAATTGTATTTTGTTGTAGCTTTTAGTGTACAGGTTTTATGCATCTTTTGTCAGATTTATTCCTAAGTATTTGATATTTTTAATGCCATTATAAATGGTATTGTTTTACAATTTCAATTTTCTGTTTCTTGCTGGTATATAGAAATACAATTGATTTTTGTATAGTGCTCTTGTATCTTGTATCCTGTTACCTTTCTATACTCACCTATTAGTTCAGGTAGCTTTTTAAAATAGATTGCATCATTTTTTTAGACAGATGACTGTGTCTTGTAAGTAAAAAACCTGTCTTGACAGTTTTACTTCTTTTTTGAATATTGATGCAGTTTATTTCTTTTTCTTGCTGTATTGCTGTTGGGAGAAATTCCTTGTGAGCTTCGTGGGCTCTGAATGTCTTGCTGGGTATGAATTCATTCTATGACTGTGCTTTACCCAGGCTGGTTCTCAGGGTTATGTGTGCAGTAAGCAGCCTCAGAG